CCCAGCTTGGCAGCTTGGCAGACCCCGGGGGGGGGCCAAATGCGGGTCAAGCTGAGAGAAGTGCACAGTATCACCTGTACAGCCACAGGCCTGTGTGACATGGGGCGAGTTACTTAACTTCCCTGAGCCTCGTTTTTCTCGTCTGTGAAATAGACAAAACCAGTGTCCGTTTCATACCAGTTCCCATCTCCCAGGGCTGCTGGAGGGACCCAGGGAGCCGCACAGGTTACCCTGCATTGAGCTGTGCCCTGAATGGCAGAAACGCATAATTTATGTTAACAATTCTACCAGAGATGCGGCACCTAGCACAGTTTCTGGTACCTGAGAGTGGCTTAATACATGTTCATGATTTGTATCTTGTGCTTTTTCAAAATGATCAAATGCCTTCAATGCTTCGTTGATCTGTGTCGCCATCGGGTAAAGAAGGGAAGTATTTGTCAGCTACGGATGCCATCTTGAGGCAGGGGCATTGTTTATAAATTGAGCACGAAACCTTCTTTGACCACTCAGAAGTCAGGGAATGAGGAGAACTCACTTTCTTGACCCTCCGTGAGTTTACATTTCCAGCGGTGTGGCCCTGATGTCAGCCATTCACAGATGGCTCCCATGAAGTCTGCACGGGGCTTTTTCTCCGTGGCTGGCTTCCAGATGGTTAAAAGTTTCTTCCTCTCCAGTGTTGTTTGAAAAGCACCCCGACGTCCCATCAGCCATTGTGTAATCTTGGATGCGTGCCCTGTCTGTTCATTAGTTGATCGGATATTCATAATATCCCATTTAATAAATGGAAAAGCAATAGAAATTAAGAGACCTGCCCCAAATTACAGAGACAATTAGCTTAAGGATAAATAGGAATGAGGAAAATACGACAGACGGGGAAGTCCTGGCCGGATCTGGACGGTCAAGAGGATTCGACACCTGCTGGGCAGGTGTATCAGACACCCTCCCCACCCCCCCACCCCCACCCACCCCCCCCAACACACAGCCCAGCTCCTCAGAGCCTCCCTCTCCACACCCTGGAACCCTCCATGCGTTCCCACGCCAGCTCAGCCCCTCCCACCATGACAAGTTTCTCCCCGGGGTCTCTGCTGCTTCCGAGGTGGGATTCCTAGAGCCCGGGCATGACCAGCATCCTTGGCCCAGGAAGTGCTGGTGAGTGGATGACCCATGAGGCCAGGCCTGCGATGGATGAGAAGTGGGAGGAAGCCAGTGAACTCGCTCCCCTCCCTCGCCCCCCCCGCCCCCCAGTCTGCTTCCTGGTGCAGCAGTTCCGAGCCTCTTAGAGAGGGTCCTGGCGATAAAACAATACCAAGTGGTGCCCCCCTCCCCATCACATACCCCCCCCACTGTGTTCCACTCCCTCCCAACTCGCCTCCCCTTTTCTCTCTCCAGCTTCTTTGGAAATCTCTCTCCTAGAGTAACGTAATAACGAGCAAGCTTTTCCTCAGCCTTTGCTCGGTGGGATTCGAAGAGAAAGTGATTTCGCTCTCATTATTATTAATTAGGATAGCTAAAAGGCAGAAGGAGGCAGAGTGTGACAGAGAGAGGGGGAGAAGGGGTGCCCTTGGCAGTGGGTGGGTGTTAAGGATCATGCACATTCCAGGAGCGGACACAGTGCTTCCTTGCACAGACTTTGCAGCCGGCCGCCCTGGGTTTGCGCACCTCTCTCGTCAGTTACAAGCCTCCGAACCTTCAGTTTCCTCATCTGGAAACTGCAGGTGAAAATAATTCTGATGTCACAGGGGTCTGCAAATATTAAGAGTACTGATATTTGCCAATGGGGTGCCTGGGTGGCTGGCTCAGTGGCTTAAGTGTCTGACTCTTGATTTCGGCTCAGGTCATGATCTCATGGTTCATGAGATCGACCCCCAGGTTGGGCTTTGTGCTGACAGTGTGGAGCCTTCTTGGGATTCTTTCTCTCTCTGTCTCTGTCTCTCTCCCTCTCAGCCTGCCCCCCTCCCCCCATCTCTCTCTCTCTTTCTCAAAGTAAATAAATAAACTTAAAAAAAGAGTACCGATATTTGCCAACCACCTTAGAGCAGCGTCTGATATGTTGTAAGTATCATTTACGCATTTATTAAACATACCAGTCAATGAACGACTCTCCCTTGACTTTGCCTGCAGGACTCTGAGGAAGTCAGGGAGTTTCTCTGAACCACAGAGAAAATAAAATGAACGGTTTGAATTAATAAAGGGCTTGGCCAGTTCTGGCCCTCCATTTTCTAAAGAGACCCCGGGCACTAATGTGAATCCAGCATCGGTTGTGGGTCAGGGAAGGTCTTAAGATCTTACATATAAATGGTCTTCAGACTTATATAAATCATGCCGTAATTAAGCCTCACAAGAGGTCTGTGAAGTTATGGTGAGTTCCCTGTATTTACCGACGAGAAAGAGAAGGCTCAGAGAGGCTAAGTGACTTGTGCACGGTGACGGAGTGACTGTCAGTACACAAACTTGGGTTGTCTGGAAGCCCCACCACAAGGTCCGGGTCTAGGGAAAAAGTGGGACTGTAGAGATCAAAGCTTGGCTGCTCAAGATGTGGCTGAAAGGCTGGATGCCTTCCTGGAAACGGATGATTGAATGGGCGTCTTTCCGCGTGCTCGACGGCTCATGGTTGAAAGGGTGACAGCCTCCCAGGGGTCTGGGACAGAGGTGTGAGGGGTGGATTGGTGGGCGCGCTCTGACGCAGGGTCTACGTAAGGAAAGGAACACGTTGGGATCAGAACTCACGCGTGTGTCTCTCCCTCCGCCAGGCCACGTGCACCTTGCACGTGGTGGGTGCCCAGGCCTGGTTTGTGAGTGGCTACTTCTTTCCCAGAAGTTTTGGACAGAGGCATCTTTGATTTGGGTTTAAAATTTTTCTTAAAGAGGGGGCGCCTTGGTGGCTCAGTCGGTTAGACGGCCGACTTCGGCTCCAGTCATGATCTTACGGTTCTTGAGTTCGAGCCCCGCGTCGGGATTTGTGCTGACGGCTCGGAGCCTGGAGCCTGCTTCCGATTCTGTGTCTCCCCCTCTCTGCCCCTCCCCTGCTTATGTTCTGTCTCCTTCTGTCTCAAAAATAAATAAAAACATTAAAAAAATTTTTTTGTAATACCAAAAAGTTTTTAAAAAATTAAGTTTATTTATTTTTGAGAAAGAGAGAGAGAGAGAGTGAGTGAGCAGGGCAAGGGCAAAGAGAGAATCCCAAGCAGGCTCCACACTGCCAGCACAGAGCCCAACGTGGAACTCGAACCCACAAGTAGTGAGATCGTGACCTGAGCTGAAACGAAGAGTCGGAGGTTTAACCGACTGGGCCACCCAGGCTCCCCAGAGCCCTTCTATTTTGTACATAAATAAATAAAAATGGGAAAAAGTGGAAGTTGTATTTTGAGGTTTTGATTATTATTATTATTCTATTATTGTTACGAGACAACGTTTGCACAATTGAAAACTATTTGAGTTTTTAAAAATGTTTTAATATGAAAATCAGTAAGAAACCCATTTTCCCTTAGATCTTTCAATTCAACTTCTAAGTCTCTTTTAACATAGACTATATTTTAACAGCTACTTTCAAGGAGTCTCTTGTTTAGAGAACCCTAAATAACTTCACACAATAGGCCCAGATAACAACTGGGTTCGTTAAGTCCTCTCCATTGCTTCAACCGATGTGACAAAAGCCTAAGTATTTCAAACATCTGGTGAAGCAGTAATTCAACTTATAACCAAGGGTGAGACTCTCAGATTCTTCCGAACAGTCAAACTTGGCACACCTTCTAATTAAAAAAAAAAAAAAAAAAAAAAAAACTTTTCCAATGAAAATTTACAAGTCTAAATTACCTCACTGCTCAGTTACATTTTAATTGGCATGATCAGACTAATCTGACTCTAATGTATCAAAACCTTTTTCTTTTTTTTAATTATACCACATACTTCAAATACCCGCCATATGCTGATTTCCCCCCAGACTTGACTTCTGGGATTTCCTTTCTCTTCACTCCGCAGAATACATTCTGAACTTTGCCAGGGCAGAAGTGTTCGGCACCAGGAGAAGAAACAAGTTGTTTTAACATCACAAGCAAGTCCCGACCTAAACTTATGAAATTATCGACCAGAGATTTCTGGCCAGAACACAGGGGCTGAGGGGCAAGGACAATTTTTTTTTTTTTTTTTTTTTTCTTCTTCTTCACGACAGTTGGCAGGTTCAGGCTTTTCTAGTCGCTATGGCAACAAGCAACTCCAAGCCCACACTGTGCACCTGAGATTAGTTTCTGCGCTCTTGCCCCTGGATCTAAGTTGAATGATCTAACCTCTTCTAACCTGGCAGCACAGACTGCTAATTGTCCCCGAATACGTGTGTCGCACAGTGTGTGTCCCAATATAAGGACTACGTTTACCAGTGTCCCCTGCAGCTAGGCAGCTGGGGGACGGAAGTGGAAGTCCTGGGGACAATCTGTAGAATGAACTTAAAGGGAAAGGGCATGTTCTTATCTCCTTCTGGACGCCTGGAATAAAGATTTGATGTCTGGAGCTGGGGCAGCCAGCTTGGACCAGGAAATCAAGGTGGGGAGGATGGTGTGCTCTACAGTGAAGCAACGAGCTGGCTGAGCCTGCGTCGCTGACCCTGTACAATGCTACACCAACCTTGTGTGCCAGGACTTAGGAAAGGGAAAAACTAACTTCTACCCAGTGAAGCCACTGTGATTGGGGGTTTTCCGCTGTCGAACTTAATCCTAACTGCTAGATACTACTGCCTGATTTGCGAAGATGAAATTCTGGATCCTTCCCCCGCTGGAGGGGATTCTTCACCAGTCAGCTATTTGGCTGCCCGATGGAGTTCTGCCTTCTCCCGTGTCCGGTTGTAGACCACAGTCCTAGGGCACCCCAAGTGATTTACATGGTTTTACCAAATGGATGCCCCAAATCGGTAGCAGGTGTCATATCTCTTAAAGCTGAGGCTATAGCTCCCAACCCAATGCCACGGTAGATTGGGCTGCCCCCAGAATCATTAAATGCAGATCGTTAAATGCAAGCAGCTAACGTTAATTTATATTTTATGAGTCTGTAGTTGAAAATACATAAGTGAGCACCAAAATACCGAGTAAATCAATAGACGCAAAAATAACAACAGTTAACGTACTGTGCACTTACTGTGTGCATGGCTAATAACCACCCTATTTATCCTAGAGGGTGAAATCTATCGTTATCCTCAGTTTAGACATAAGGAAGCTGTGGCCACATGTTTTCCCCAAGCTCAGCCGTGGAGTCGCACCCCATAAACTAAGTGATAGAGGTGTTCCCAACTGTGTTCAGTCTCTGTACTGTTTTAAGGATCCAGCCAGAGAGAGAATCAAAGATGCACGCATGTTTGGTCTCAAGGAAAGTTAGGGCGTTCAACTACAAAAAATACAAAGGAATGATTTCAGGGCTTCTTTGTAATTTCTCCGCAACATTTACGGCTATCATCTTTATTCTACCTCAATGTGGAAACCTATCCCAAATTTGGGTAGTGGCTTGCTTTCTACTGAGAAAAGTAACTTGCTCCTCTTTGGCGGGGGGGTGGGGGGGGGGACGCTGTGGGGAGGGCATGGGGCAGAGGGACACTCAGAATTTCAAGGCCGCCACCATGGGCATGTAGTTTCAAGAAGAGGGAATTACAGGGCTTTTTTCCCCCAGAGATGCAGTTGGCCTGGCAGAACCCTGATATTTGGCAGCTCCCGTCCTGAGTACTTTTCCATTCTCATCTATAAAACATTTGCAGGAATGTTGACAAGTATAATATGCATAAGAAAGATACTTAAATTAATAATGGCCATCATTTATTGAATGCTTACTAAGTATCTGGCACTGAGCTGCTAATTTTGTATATATAATCTGTCTCCTTAAAACAACTCTGGGGGCCAGGTACCATCTGCCCATTCTGCAGACAAAAACCGGAAGGCTCGTGGGTCCAGAGCCCCCCGCCCCCGGCCCCGCCTGCTGTTTCCCCCACAAGCAGGCACGGCTGCTTTGCAGCTTCCCAGTCTGCCTTTCACTCAGTTTCCCAGGTTAAGGTGCTGGTTCTTCACTGTCAGAAAACCTTCTAAAGAGCCTGAAGTTTCTTTTCCAGAACGAAAGGGTTAACCTGGGGGGCCCTGACGGATTTCACACCCAGTAATTGCATTCTGCTTGTTTTGACGTTGCTCAGAAATAAAATCATCGAAGAAACATCACGGAACAAAAGGTTTCCTGCCGCAAGGACCCTTAAGATGATCTAAGCCAGCAGTTTCAATCCCGGGAACAGTTTTGTCCAAACGGCAATTCAAGTGGAAGGACACGCACAACGTAAGCCACCTTTGTGAGCGCCCTCTTACCCTTTGTTGCACTTCTTTGGAAAGAACGCCCATCATGATAATTAATCACTGATCCTGTAACACCCCCGGTATCCCCCCGTGCCATGAATATTTGCTAAATGGATTAATGGAGGTGGGTAGCCAAGGTGCAATCCCCTGAGGTATGACAGAGCCCAGTTTGAAAACATTGCTCTAGCTCAACCTCCTGAGCGTACAGACAAGAAAGTTGAGGCCACAAAAAGGAAACTGTCCAAAGTCAGGTGGCTGCAAAGTCGCAAAAGCCGGGACTCGGGGCCAGAACATCCTATCAGGAAGACTTTGTCCCTGGTCCCTTTGGAATTTATGGTTGAGCGGCTGAGCGGGGTGCTGTCCACGCGGTCCTTGTAGCTGTATTACGGAAGGAAGCTGTTTCAAAAGGCAGATTCCTGGACCCCACTGCAAGGCAAGTGAACTTCGAGTCTCTGGGAGTAGGACCCAGGAATCTGAGCTTAGAATAAGCCTCCTGGAGTCATCCCTGTAGGCAGTGAACTTGGAGAAATAGACCTTACGGGTTCCTTGTCGGGCTCCAGGAGGTAATTGGAGATGTAGCCATGATCCTTCTCCTGCTTGAGGCCAGAATGAAGAGCCGCTGACCTGGGGGGGGGGGGGGCAAGTTACCTATAGTTACGTTCTTGACCGATTGATTTATTCCATAACCATTTATTGACCATCACCACGTCCTCAGGGCTCCGACCTTGTCCCTCTTCATTTTCTACAACGTCCCCAGGTGACCTCATCCACACCAGGTCCCCACCACCACCCGTTGTCTGTGAATCTAGTCCTGCAACCCAGTCCCGAACATACTACAGCCTGCAGCCTGCCAACGCCTGCACCCCATCTCCTCCCTTGTGTCTGCACGGGCTCGTGACGGGGAGCGCAGAGCACAAAGATGAGGCTATGTTACTTCGGAAGCGAGGTCATAAAGGGCATATGGCTTCCACCCGGTTCCCCTGGGATGCTCCGTCTCAACATCTAGCCTCTATGGCCACGTGGAGGTGCTCTGGCGGACTGAGTTTCGTCTTCAGGTCAACTCATCCCCGATCCCAGACCCACGAGTGAAGAAGCCTCCGGACTCCAGCCTCAGCCATTCAAGGTACTCTCAGCTTCCCAGACACGTGGGGCAGAGATAAGCCCACCCTGCGGGGTTCCATCCAAATTCCTCACCCCCAGAACCCACGATCAAATGCAGGCAGGAACGGCCGTCTCATGCCTCTAGTTTTGGGGATGTTGTGTTATGCAGGGTTGGTAACCAGAGTCAGCGGCAAATGAAAAGTCCCGCAAAAAACCGAAATGGGACATGTGAAAACGGTTTCTTTCTCCTTCCGCAGTCGGAGGTGCCGTAGTTTAGAGATGGCCACCATCCACTGAGTGTCCATTATTTTTGCAGTTGGGTTACAAATAATAATAAAAAAAAAATCTCAGGGCGCCTGGGTGGCTCAGTCGGTTAAGCGTCCAACTTCAGCTCAGGTCATGATCTCACGGTTCGTGAGTTCGAGCCCCGTGTCCGGCTCTGTGCTGACAGCTCAGGACCCGGAGCCTGCTTCGGACTCTGTGTCTCCCTCTCCGTCTGCCCCTCCCCCACTGGCACTCTGTCTCGCTTGCTCTCAAAAATAAACAAACGTTAGTCACTTTTTTTTTTTTTTTTTTTTAATAAAAACAATCTCACTATGGTACCTTCGAGAAACCGGGCTGAGCATGGTTAAACGTTCTCCCTCACAAAACAAGGGATCTGAGGGAAGATGTTACCAACCCTGAACCCGTTGTGAGGCCTTCGGGGATCAAAGGTTTTTCTGTCAACCTATCACGCTTCTGCCGGCCTTGCCATGAAAGATGGGGGATGCCTGCCCAGATGTCTCACTTCTGCTCCTTCTTTAGGTCAGACCCCTGGCCTCTGCTGGATTCCCAGAAGGAACATGGCCTTCAGTCTGGACACCCCAGCGCCGGCCTCCCGAGGCTGCCGGAGTGGTCTGGCCAGCATGCAAATGTCGCCGTTGCCTCTGCCAGCATCCAGAGCGAAGACCACAGTCTGCTCCACCCGGCTTAGCAGGTGGTACGTGAACCGGATGGGCTCACGCCTCCTGCACACCGCACCCACCCCCCTGCCCTCACCTAGTTCTCCCTGAGATCCCAGGACACCTGTCCCCCAGGAGCTGCCCTCCGGTGGAGGAGGTCATCAGGAAGACGTGACTGCCGGCTGACCCGAGAGCTGACCCCGGGGAAGTGGAGGGCCTTCTCCCCCTCCCCTGTCCTGGGAATGTACATGCAGTCTCTCCCACACCCTGTTCCCACAGAGGGAGCCGTCTTCAGGGACAGGTGTTGTGGAGACCGCCTCGACGGCGGATATGACCGAACCTCACAAAGGCCTTTCTCTAAACTTTTAAGATTCTAGAAGGTGGGTTCAGGTATCTATTCATCTTGAGGCACTCAAGATCAGGCTTACAAAGTAAGTTCTCTTGCTTATTCAACCTGCCACTTACCAACGTGGGGTGACCCGCCTCTGTCTTCGGTCTCTCCCTGTCTTCTGTGCGTGCGGTCAGTTTCAGACTACACTCCAAATGCTCCCGGGTTTGTGAACCAACATCCTCTAAGTGACCTCACTACACCCACCTGTTAGCCTGTCACAGCGCTGCCCCAACGTGGTGAAATCCCAAGCATGGTCAGTCCCTTGCCAAACTGTGGGCTCCTGGTGGGCAGGGACCGTGTTGTGCCCACCTCCACGTCCCCAGCATTTAGCACAGTATGTGGTGAATTAAGGTGGGCCCCAAGTGCCCAGTGACTGCTGTCCTTACAAAAGGAGGAGGCAGGCACTCACACAGTCACACACTCACACACGCGCGCGCGCACACACACACACACACACACACACACACACACACAGCCATGTGAAGGGATCATCTACAAGCCAAGGAAGGCCGAAGATTGCCAGGAGCCACCAGAAGCTGGGAGAAAGGCACAGGCCAGATTCTCGCTCAGAGCTCCCAACAGGAGCCCATCCAGCGGAAACTTTGATTTCAGACTTCTGGCCTCCTGAGCTGTGAGAAAATACACGTCTGCTGTGTGGGGCCCCCGGCTCGCGGTAATTTGTTATGGTAGCATCCAGGAGGGCTGGACCCAGTGTCTACGATGTGGAGGAGGCATGGTTCTTTAAGGGTCCTGCAGCCCAGAACAGCAAAAGCTCTGAGGATACAGTGATCAGTGCTAAGAAGCAGAGTCCCCTCATCCCAGGCCTTGCATTAGAGCTCTGGATCTCTAGGCTCAGAAGTTTGGATTGGCATCCTTAGACAATGGCAGCCATTGAAGATTTAAGGGTTCTGAGCTTGGGAATGCCTTGGGGGCAGTGAAGGGACTTTGGGGGAGAAAGGAACTTGGCTGTAGCTGCGTATGGTTCTCAAGCATCTGGCAGCAAGTAACAGAACCATGAGCTAAAGTGGCTTAAACAAAATAATTGTCCTAATACAACAGAAAGTCTAGAGGTAGGCTTCAGGAACGGTGTGATCAGGGCTCTGGATCTACTTAGCTTCAGTTTGTCTCCCCTCATGGGTACAAGATGTCATCCAGAGAAACTTGAGCTAAAAATACCTTCGTGTTCATGTCCAGTTGGAAATAAAGAGAAGCTTCCCAGGCCTTAGTCTTAAGGACTCTTTTCCTAGAAAACACAAATATATTTCTTTATCTTCTTGATCCAAACAGGGAGTAAATCTACGTATTCCTGAGCCAAATTCTGGCAAAGAGATTAGTGCGGTCGTGATTGGACAAGATTAATCAGCTGCCTTAGCATGGATGTTGGGTCTAACATGTGTGAATAGTGTAAAGCGTGTGATTCTGTGGAATAGTTCTGCTGACTCAAATGCCCCCAAGATTCTCAGAACTGGAAGGGGGCTTAAGCGTTATGAGTCCTGCAGTCCCCGTAATGCAAAACGTGTAGCTCTCCTTCCACGTGCTTACTCTTCAGGTGGGCACTCGCTGCCCGGGCAGCCCATTCACCGCTGGGTTGTTGACCCAGGACCCGGTGAAGCCTGCCAGTCAGATTCCTCTTCTGGAAAAACTAAAATCCGGAATAGATGAAGAGTGGAAAGTGAAACTGTGAAACAAGAAGGACTGTTTTGACAGCTGCCCCACCGTACAGGGGCTGGGGCCGCAGACACCAGGAACATTTCAGGGCAGACCCTAGGACTTAGCAGAAGGAGACCATGGGCAGGGATGGAACAGAGCAGAGAGGGGGCAAGAGCAGGGAGAGAAAGCGGAGGGAGGGAAAGAGGGACACACCCAGAGCCAGGAAGCCTGGCTGTGTCTCTCCTTCCGGCTGCTGTCAGTACATCCCCCTATTACCTCTTTTTATCTTAAGGGAAGTTGGGGCCCCAAAACCGTGGTAAGTAAAACCCTGCCCAAAACAAACGGCCACGTGCCCAGCAGCTCTGAACTCACCGCTGACAAGCCGGGCTGCCCTTTTCTGCCCAATCACCCAGATAGCATCAGGGCCCATTAGGATCCCTCCTTTCTGATGTGCGAAGAAAGGGGGCGGGGAGAGGATGAAATCAATTTCCTTCACCATTATTACCGAGAGCTTTGCAGTTGCTCTGAACACACGGGGGCGGGAGGGGGGTGAGCATTACATCAATGTCAGGGCTCCCTGGGGGGACTCACTGTGCAGACACTCCCTGTAATGACTATGGCGGCTGTACTAGGCAGGGCATGTTAGGAGCCACTCGGGATGACAACGAGGAATGCCCTCACACACACCCCTGACACATAGCCCCGGAGGATGTGGGCTCCCCGAAAGGCCCGAGGGCCTCGCAAGTGCTGCCTCCATGGAATAGAGGACAAACCCGAGGGGGGAGAGGCCCTGTCTATCACCTGGTAAGAAATAACATTGCAACACAACTGAGGCGGGCGAGAAAAAGCCTGGCCGGGTTAACCCCTCCGAGACGGAGACGGGGAAAAGGTGCAGCTGATGGAAATCTTTTTCTAGATAAGGTGATGATATATGCATGCTTCACCAGAGAGTCACTTAATTAGGTATTTCCATTTTACTGTGGAGTCACCGGCGGGAACTGCCAAGGACCTAGGGCTGAAATGAAGAGCTGTCTTTGGTTCTTGGCTGCCAAGGAGAACCAGCAGCTGGATGTTTGGGGGCCACTTACTTGCTCAATCTGGTCGTCTCTCTAGATTCACCTAGGATAAAATGGCGCAGTCTTAATTACTAATTCTTTAATTTTCTAGTGGTGAATTTTCGCACTCTCTCCTCCTCCTGCTTTTCAACCTGCTCCTTTTCTACTTCTCTATGCTCTGAATAGCTCCCTTTTCCTCCTCCAAGGCTGAAAAGTCTCCTGGACCACCCTTTACCCATCCCCCCCCCCCATTGTGAGTAGGGGCCCACGCCAGAGGGCCCAGCATCCATGAAAGCCAACTTTCACTGGGTACTTACTATATGATAAGCTTAGTTGCAACTGTTCAACATGGATGGATTCACTCGTTTATTAGAACAACCTTATGGGACAGACAGCAATCAGTCCCATTTTCACAGAAGAGGAAACTGAGGCACAGGGCTACCTAAGCTTAGATTCTGTAACCAGCCTAAGATCACACATCCAGTAGGTGCAAGACAAGACTGGAAGCATTAAGTCCCATCCAGCCCCTGGTCTGAAGCACACTCTGATGAATGACGTGCTAGGGAGCTATCTCCACTGCAAAAGGCTGACCTCTCCAAGGGAAGAAATGGAAGCCGGAAGAATTAAGCGCCCCTTAGGCCACGCTGCGCCTCTGTCCTCTGAGCATTGCTCAGAGAAGTTACAAAAGAGGTAAAATCCCCGTAAGGGGATAAAAGCTGTACAATCACACGTTTTTAATGCCTCTTAAACCTGACGTCCAGCATTTAGTCTCTAAGACTGTCAAGTCCGTCACTGAGCAAGAAGTCTCCACTGCCCTCACTTCCCTATAAAGGAGAAACGGCAACCGGGCCCCCCCCCCACAAACCTGAGTCCCACAGGGGGTCCGGTCCCAGAAGCCCCAGTCCCAGGTCGCCGTGGGACCTGCCCCTGCCTGGCGTCCCGCTGCCTGGCGCTCACCCTGCCCTGGACCGCGGTGCAGCCTCCGCATCTGGGAGGAAAAAACTGCGGCGGGCAGGCGAGCCGGGGCGGGGACCGCGCCGCGGTGGCCGCTCTGCGGCTCCGAACGGGGCCCAGGCTCGGGCCTTACCAGGGCCCCAGCCCCGCCGCGCCCCTCCCCTCCCCCTCCCTCAATCCCACCTCCAGTCCCGCGCCCTTAAAGGAAGTCCATGGCTTTGCCCGGTCACCAACAGGGTGTCGGCCGGCCCCTTCTGTGCTACGGTGCTGCCGACTTGGGCTCTTCAGGACACCGCCACGTCCTCTGGGTGGGCGCCCGTCGCCTCCTCCCCGGGGTTGACCCCACGGGTCTCCGGGCGATTCTTCCCTAGTCTTTCCAGCCCGTGGGCGGCGGCGGCGGCGGCGGCGCGGAGTGTCGCGGAGCTGTCCCCGCAGAGCCCTCCCGGGGCGGCGATCCGGTCCCCGCGCCGCCTCCGGCGTCTCCCCAGCCTGGCCTCCGCCGAGCCGGCTGCGGTCCACGTGGCTCCGGAGATCGCAGGAAGCCCCGAGCGAGCCGAAAGCCGAGCCGAGAGGGGGCGGGGGGGGCGCGGGGGGGGGGGGGGGGGAGCGGGCCCGGGGGGCGGGCACTGGGCGGAGGAAGGGGAGGGCCGCGCGCAGCCCAGGCGCCCGCCCCGCTCCGGCGCGCCCCGCTCCCGGCCCCGGCCGGCCAGGGAAGCGGCCCCTCCCCGGCCGCCCGCCGGCCCCTCCCGTTACACCCGGGGGAAGGTGTTCCCGAGACCGCTCCCATCCTCACCCCGCCTCCCCGCTTCCCCGGCTCCAGCCTCCGCCGGCGGAGCTCCACTATGCCAGACAGTTTCGACACTTTGCAAAGACAAAGACCAGAGGGAGGAGGAAGAGGAGGACAGGGAGGGCGAGGAGGAGGAGGGAGAGGAGGACGGCGCGATGTGAGCCGGGAAGGGGGCCAGTGCTCGGGACAACCCCCCCTTTAGTCTCCCCGGAGCCCCTCATCTCCAAAGCCGCGGAAACTCCAGCGTGTCTCCGGCTGCGGTGAGTGAGCGCGCCGAGCCCAGCGCGGCCGGGGTGAGCGGGGGGCTGCGTCCGCCGGAGTTGGGGCAGTTTCGAGTGTGTTCTCCAAGTGGAGGGGCGGTTGCCCGGAGCCGGGAACAGAAGTGGTCGGGAGGGGTCTAGGAGGGCTTGACAGTGGAAGTGGGACTGTAGACCCCGGGCGTCCAGGGGAAGACACGCGTAGGGAGACCCCCCCCCCTCCTTAGCCACGGCGACACCGGGGTCTTCGGGAGAGGGAGGAGGTCCGGGAGGAGGCCGGGGCTCCGGGATCTTTTGCCGTTATTGGGAGAGCTGCTGGGACCTCAGCGGGGAGCCTGCGCCAGGTCTGGGGCAGCGGTCCCCGGGGTGGCCCCAGTGACATTGCACCGGCGCCAGGCTGGAATCTCCCTGGTCCGGGCCGCCAGAGGGCGAAGCGGCCAGCGGGGCCGCCGGTGGGATGAGTCCCCTCGGGGTGGCTGGCTCCGGGGCTTTCGAGTGGAGCGAGGGCCGCGGGGGCCCGCGGAGGCCGCCGGTGATCCGGTCGAGCTGCGGCGGGACAGTGTACGGATCGAGCGTCCAAATCCGCTGCGAGCAGGGGCACATCCGGGAGTTGGCCGTCGCCCCCGGGGACGCCGCCGGCCCACGTTACTCCGGAGACGACCGAGAAGTTGGCGCCCGGGACGCGGCAGCTGGACGTGGCGTGGTGGGCAGGGAGGTATTGGGTGGGCGCAGGGGAGCGTGGCGGGGGTGGTGCGGGTGGCAACTCGAAACTCCGGAGTCCGCCCCAACCCCGTTAGGCGCCGCAGCTGCAGCGAAAAAATCTGACAAAAGTTAGCAACTTGTCTGCGTCTCGTGGGTGTGTGACCTGCGCGGGGCAGGGGCCGCTGTTTGGGAGAGCGCAGGGCCAGGGCAGCGGTGACCCTGGGGCGGAGCGCCCGGATGGGGCTACGGCTAGATTCGGAATCCGGACCGTGGCGCAACTTTGAGCTCCTCCTTTTCGCTGAGCCTGAGTGTGTTTGAGCGTGACCTTGCGGGAGGAAGCGCGGCTGAACTTGAGATGGGGGTTGAGGCTGCGCCCGGGCTGCCTTCAACGTGCCCCGCGGCCCGGTCTCTGGGGACGGGCGGCTGCAGCGTCTGGGTTCCGATCGGCGGCTGGAGCCCGGAGTCCTTCCAGCCTGCTACCCGAAGGTCTCGGCCAGCGCCTGCCACTCGCAGGGCTCGGTGGGGGCGCTCGGCGGGCGGACACGTGCGCGCCCAGAAGTGCGCGAGTGGTGGGGGCTGGGCGGGTCACTGCGTCTCACGGGCTCTGTGTGTCCCGCAGAGGGAACCGGCTTCGTCCCCGAGGGCAGCGACCACTTTGCCGAGGGGCCGCATCAGGCATCCGCCTGGCTGTCACGTGTCCCACCTCTAGGGACTCCTGGCTCCTTCTGGCTCACCACCCTCGCGGGTCCCCTCGCCACGCGGATTTGGGCCGAGATGTCCCCTAGGGAGACAGCGAGCGCCCACCGCCGCTAAGGCTGAGCGTGTGTGTTTGGCTGGAGGGAGGGGGAGGGGTGGAGGAGTGGGGGGAGAAGGAGATTAGCAGAGAACGAGGTTGTCCAGGAGCGGTAGCCACCGCGCCTGACACACAGTAGGGACTAAGGCTGTTTGAAAAGGCCTCTAGATGGAAATGCGCGGGCAGGGGCCGGAATGTCCCCTTCTCGCCTTCCCCTCCCCATTTCTACCACCGAATTTACGTTCATCCCCCTAACCGAGGCCTTTCGGCCTCTAGGCGTGCCTTGAGCACCTACTACGCGCGGGGTTCAAAACTGGGCTGTTTAGAAGCTGAGGGCGGAGCCGCCTGGTGTTCCTTCCCTGGAGCTGCGTAAGGGCGCCCAGGCGGTTCGCAAAAGGCAAGGCGCACTGCCCCCTGCAGGCTGCTACGGAGACTGCTGCCTGTGGCCGAGGTGGGGAAGGGGCGCCAGTGACCTCACCTTGCCTGAGCTCCTTGGAGGTACCTTCCTGCACCTCTTCTTCCTTCCCCCAAAGCCATGGCCTGGCTGTTTTCTAAAATCCCGCAGTTGGCTGGAAAGATCGACCAGAGCTCACCATTCCTGCACACTCCCACCCTCCCCGTAGATCCCAGGTCTTTTCATCATCTCCGTCTCTGACCTTCGAGCCTGAGACTTGGAGCTCCCAGAATCTCCGTTTTCATATCTGTAAAATGGGGTCATCACTATTACTTTACAAGTGTGTTGCACAGAGTTACATAAAATTGTGCGAACACGTGTGCACGTGTGGATATACACATTCACGCATTCACACTACATATGCATATCCACATACGGTGACTCAAAGTCTGGGGAGAGGAATCCCATCTTCGAAAATATTTAGTTTTGCTGAACAAATAAATAACAGAATGAGTAGGGGGCCCCTCCCTCTGCCTTTGAACACCTCCACAAGCCTGGCAATGTACTACTGTCCCTGCGTTTTGCCAGTCCAGCCTTTACCACCGGGGCAAGGCGAGGGCCTGGGCCGGAGCAGGATCTTCCCCTCACCTCACTGGGTGGGCAGGCCTGCGGAGGCCTCTTGAGCCCTTGGCTGACGGAGAATGGCAGAGGGTTGTTTTTTTTGTTTTTTTGTTTTTTTCTTAGGGGGTGTGGATTCTGCTCAGTGTGGCTCTGAGTAGCCCGCTTGCCGACCTCAGGCCTGTGTTCCCTTTTCCGGGGGCAGGCTAGGCATTCCCCCAGCTGGACATACCAGCAACCCTCTGACGTCAGGGACTTCCACAGAATCGGCTGTCTGGAGCCTTTGGTCCCCTAGCTATGGTGGGGTGGGTCCGTCTTTGGGCCTGGCAGCGAGGGGTCCTTGCAGATCCTGGAGCCTCAGGGATGTGAGGGGCTCTGTCTCCCCTCTGCACCAAGCAACCCCTAGGCCAGGATATCTCCTGGGGGCAAGTTCTCAGCCGCACCCTCCGCCCCCAGGAAGGGGTGCCTTTGAACCTCCTGGTCAGCTCACCTAGCTTGAGTCCTTTGCTGTGTGTGGCAAGCTGCTGACTCAGAGGAGTTATATTTGGACAGGGCTTTGCCTTACGGGATCTAGACCTTAACCCTCTCCCCAGGCTCCCTCCCACACCATGAAAAGCAACCAAAGTAAAGTGAAACAAATCCACCAGTGATCTCCTTATCCCGCTTCCCAATAAATCCTATATACACAAAGGACAAGCACCACCCTCCCGTGGAAGAGCTGGCCTGGTCACAGAGAATTCTAGAATAAGGCTCACATGCCCTTTGTTAAGTTGTGGACCACACGTGTAACCTTCGCTCCCCCCTTGCAGACCCAAGGCTCTGAGAGCGCTCTTCTCTAATTTGGGCACAGGAGCCCAACCTTGGGCCCCAGAGGAAGTCCCAGAGCCAGTGCGCAATTGCTTTGTAATTTGGCACCCGTCTGTTCCAGGCTCTGGTCTCAGTTTCACTCTCTGCAAAATGAGAGGCTTGGAGTTCTGCTGACATGGCCTTGGGGCCGTTAAAGGCTTTCTTCATGAAGACAGCCTGTGCCCTGCTTGTTTTTTGCTCCAGCACCGTCCTCAGAACTTTCCGGGCATTCCTGGCATCACAGACAACAGGGCCACCCCGTGCAATGACGCCTCCTTACTCACTGCGAGTGCTCCAGACTCCCAGAGCCCACGCCCGCTTGGTGAAGTCATTCGTCAGCAATTCTCAGCACCGGACGTTGAGAGACGCCCCAGAAGTTTCAGACTCTGGGGTCTGAAACTGGGCAGAGCCGAGGTGGCATTTTGAGGGAGCCCCGATGATGTGTATTGCAAACAGGGACCTTGGTGACTTCACCAGGACCAATAGGGTTCCCACTCGAGCTGAAAATGTTCATAGAAGTCATTTTGCTCAATATTTTCATATTAATTCAAAAATACTGAAGCCCAGAGGGGAAATCAGGGGACCCCGAGTGACAGAGCTGATCTAGAACACCAGTTGGTCTCATAAACTCCAAATAGGTGAGTGCCCTGTGTTTTCCCTTCCCCCTACCCCCATTCTTTTCCCTGCACTGAAGTCCTTGTTTCCCTCTTGGAAACCCAACATTCCTTGGGAAGCCTGAGGTTTGACTGTTTCTGGGGTCTTGTTGGGTGGATTGTTTTGATTTCCGTTGATCCAACATTTATTAGGAACTTAACTGTGTTCTACTCACCATGCAAGATGCTGGAAATAGAGAGTCGTGAGAACTCTGATCGACCCTTGTTACCATCCCCCAGAGGTCACCGCATGGCGGGGAGGCGCACGGGTGCACTTGAAGAGTTTGTGGCAGTATGGTTTGCACGGGGCGGGAGCACGCATGTGCCGCGGGAGGGCTGGGACAGAGAAGGGAGTGGATTCCTGTGCCTTGCGGGACCCACAGGGAAGAATTCACTGGGGAGCCAAAGCCCGAATAACTAGGGAAGTCACACCGCAGGGGAGCGAAGGTAGTTTCTTGCCTGCCTAGAACTGGTGTCTAATTAACATGGTGTGCGCCTAGTGAGCCCAAGAAAAGTGAAGTAAAATAAAATAACAGGCCGGATGTAGGTCTGTTCTGCGTGGTTCTGCAGAGGTGAGGGAGCTGGGATTTCAGGGCTTCAGTGATTGGGCCCCGTTCCTGCAGTAGGTGTCGATTTCTGGTTTGCTTGGGTGGGATTCATCATTGCCACTCAGCCAGAATGCAGGTCCCTGAATTGAGATCTTCCAAGGGTTACGGGCACTGCAGTGGTGGCCTGTCAAACGGAAAGTAGCTGCTTTGCTTTCGCTTCAAGAAAATACAATTCTGTGCTTTATTTTTCATCCTTGTCCTTAAACTTGATGTCAGAATTACCTGGCTGCGTCGAGAGAGGGGGTTTTAAAAGGCATGGCAGGCAGGTGGGGGACGGTGCCCAGGTTTTCAGGCACATGACCACATCTAATTGTGTGAGCTCAGGCAGGCCCTGCACCTCGGGGGCTAGGGTTCAAGTGCAGGTGGGTTATCTCAGGACGCACGGTGAG